TTTTGACAATTTGGACACAGTTTTTTGCATATATTGAAAATTTGCGTGGTTTACACTATATACACTGAAAAATACACTGAAAAAATCAAATTAATTTAAAAAGAAATTTCAAAATAAACAAAGCTTAAACTGAAAAGAGAAACTAACTTAACGATTGATAAAATAAATAAGGGATAAACTAAAGAAAATATAAGCACAAAACTAGTATATTTTTTTAATTTAAAAGCATCTCAATAAATCAAAGTTAATTGATTTAAAAGCATCCCAATTAATAGTTTAAAGCGTCCCAATTAATAGTTTTATAATTTTTCATTTATCATCACATTGTTATGGTGCATAGGTTCAGACAAAAAAAAAAAGTTTATAAACATTTTTTGCGTACAAATAAGATTTTTATTATTTAGATCTTATTTGTACGAACAAGCTAATAAATAAGCTAAAAAGTTTTGAGTCTGGCCATAAGAGGGCGAACTTGTTACTGAAAATGCCACTTGACTTACTTTACACATAAAACAAGGTAAAAAAATTGCTTCAACTTTTAGGTCAGAATTCTATGAATCAGTAAAGTAGTTTGTATTAGAAACTTTCAAAAGATGATAAGAATTCTATGCCAATTTAAAAAATATATAAAATTTTATTAGAGGTGACTGGCTAAGCAAAATAAACTTGTTTTTTTGGTTCTATATATTTAACTTATGTTACATCACTTACTTTACCAAGAGATTTTTATTGTGGATTTTTTATATCTATTATTCAGAGTTAAAGTTACATAACAAAAGAATTGCAAAAGTAATTCATTTTATAAACAAAAACTTAACAAAAAAGCGCCAGGATTTTAGTAAATGCATGTAGATTTAACTTACATTACGCAAATTTAAAATAAAAATGTGCTTTAACTAAGCATCGTTATTCAAAACTTTAAATGTGAAAATCTAACATTTAATATTCTTTCACATATATTATTAAAAAACTTCAATTTTTTAACTAAATTTTAGAAAAAACAAAACTTTATCATGTTAACTTATGTTACATGAAAATTGCAATAGTTCTTTCCTTGTTTTTTTAAAATATATATTTTTTATGAAGTATCAAATTTGACCAACAACAATTTTAGCATGTTAGCTTGATTTCCATGCTAAATTGATTTGAATTATGCAAATAAATTCATAGTTAAAATAATATTTTATAATGATACTTTTCTTATCATATGACAATAAGAAAAACCGTAACTTTTAGAGGCATAAAAATGACTTAATTAGATTAAATTTAGTATCAAAGGCATATTTTAAATAAACTTTCATTTGTCTACATCAATATTCATTTGCTAAAATTTGACAAAAAGAGAATAAAATTTGACTACTTTTTCATTTTCCGCTGTGAAATTGCCCATATATATATATATATATATATATATATATATATATATATATATATATATATATATATATATATATATTGTCGCATAAGAATTATAGGGTTTTATCTGCCTTGTTTTATGTTGAAAGAATTTAACAATCAAAGTTTTAATTAATAATTAATAATAAAAACAAACCACTTAAAAAATGATATATTATATATCATTTTTTAACATTTTTAACAGATAACATAAACAACTTATAACTTATAATTATGATGAATAACAGCTGTAAAACATGTATTAAATAAATATTGAAAGTTAAGTTCTCACAACATAAAAAAAGGCAGATGTATGTATTGATATTGTATGTATTGATATTGTATGTATGTATTGATTCCAATAGTCACATGCTTGGCCTGGGCATTTACATTTGTAAGAATTCACGCGTTTGTCAGGAGAATCAGTTTGAGTCCACAAACTATTCATTTATGTGCTTTTATTTAGGACCACTTCACTCTATCGCCTTTTTTTATGTTCTATATTGCTCTCCTTTATTTTAAAACTGCATTCTTGATGTTATTTGATCAAACTGACCAAGCCCTTTCTCACTATCCTTCAACCAATGTCGTTTTTATTGATGACTTAAACGCTCATCACACTGAATGGTTTGGTTCTAGTGTCAGTAACTCTGCCAGTGTTAAGTTAACTTTTGCTTTATCTATAACACAATTAGTCAATTTTTCTAGACAATCCGAATCATTTACCTTCTATACTCAACTTATGTCTTGTTCCTGATCCTAGGCAGTGCTTAGGCTCCAGGGAGTTAACCAGGAAGTAATTTGATACAGTGTTTTGAAGAAATAGGGAGTTTGTCAAAAGAATTCTTAATCCTCCCTTTTTCCCCTCCCCTGATATTAAAATGTGTTATGGGAATGCGGAACAAGTTTTAATATCAAACAAGTTTGTTATTAAAATGTGTTCAAAATGTTAACCATACAAGTTTGTTATTTTTTTAGATTGTACGCTATTTCTTGCTTACTTTTTTTTATATAATATTTGCTGTTGTTGGAGCGCATTGCAAAAAATTATTTTCAAGTTTTTAGAAATAAATTTTACAAATCGCTGGGAAAATCCTAATTCTCAAAAAGTTTTTTTCCAAAACACATTTTTGCAATTATGCAACATAATTTTGCATAGTTATAACAATAACCAAAATTTCATTTAAAAATGTAGACAATATATTTTTTATTTTATTTGTCTTTGAAAATAATTAGTTTTCAATAATTTTAAGAATTATTATAAAACTTTAATTTGTAAAACTTTATTTGGAAAAGTGGATTTTTTCACTTATAAATTGGGAATTTGAATTTTTTGAACATTTAGGAATACCACGTTTTACGGGGCCCCACAAGGCTAGTTTACACCCTGGACTCAACACATTTACCTTTAGTTGCTTCTGATCATGATTTGATCTCTCTAAAACTATTATCTCATTTTTGTTTATCATCAGAATGCCCTAATCATTGTACCTCTTACAACTACCTAAAAGCTGACTCTAAGGTAAAAATCTTTTGTCTTCCTGCTGACCAATGTGGTTCCTACATAACTTCTTGGATTAAGAATGGCTTGGAAACTTTCTATTCCTTCTCCAAAATTCCAAGTCAAACCTCACTCTTCTTCATGGTTTTCCTTTTGTTGTACTGTTGCAATTTCCAATCGAAACCATTAACCTCATATCTATCAGCGAAGTAATTCTCCAAAAAACAGATGCCTATTTACTATTGTTAGAAACCATTGTAAAAAGGTTTTGTTTAACACCAAAGCCCACAATTCTTAGTTCAGGAAATCTCATATTTCATCATAAAAATTAGGCTCTTGTAACTTCTGGAGAAATTTTAACAGTATCTATAATAAAGGCAAATCTGTTATTCCACCTCTCTTGTATGGTCCAGATTTTGTCACCTCACTTAAAAAAAAAAAACTCAATTGTTTGCTAAGAACCTTTTATCTATTTCATCTAGACTCCACTAGTTGTGTTCTGCCTTATATAGCCAACACACAAGTTAGTCCATTGCCTGACTTTTGTATTACAAAAAAAGTTGCTTCTGTATACAAAGTAATTTCCTGCTTAGACTCTTCTACAGATTGTGGTCTGGACAACATACCTGTTATAGTCTTGCAGAAGTGTTATCCGAATCTGTCATAATTTTTGAAAATAGTTATCCCTATTTTCAAAAATTCTGGAAAATAACTTGACTTGTCTAACTACCGTCCCATTGGTCTTTTTCCTATTAGAAGCAAGGTTTTTGAATATTTAACTAACAAACACTTAATCTTTCATCTTGAATCTAATTGAAACTTAATTTCTGATCATCAATATAGATTTCGATCTTCTTGTTCTACTGCTGATTTGTTAACAGTAATAACTGATTGGTTTTATTGTGCATTGTATAGGTCTGGAGAGCCTGAGGCTATTGCTCTCGGCATTTCTAAAGTTTTTGATAAAGTTTGGCATGCTGGTCTTCTCCATAATCTTTCTTCTTATGTTGTATCAGGTAACATCTTTAAGATTATTGAATCCTTCCTTACCAATCCTAGTATAAATGTTTTTCAAGATGGACAGCACTTTTCTTCATATCCTGTAACTTCAGGGGTTCCTCAAGGTTCTATTCTTGGACCTATACTCTTTTTAATTTACATCATTTATCTTCCGGAAATTCTCTCATCCAGTGGCATTATTCGCTGATGATACTACCATTTTTTTATCCAATCGTTATCGCAATATTTAGATCTTCCTATATTTTTGAACAGTAATCTACTTGATGGGTCTTCTACTCTTCATCTTCTAGGATTAACTCTTACTTTCAATCTTTCAAACCAAATCTGTTGCAAAAGTAGTATCTGCAAAGGTTGCATCTCTTTATTGTGCTCGCCACTTTTATACTCAGGATTCTATTTTTTATCTTTATAAATTTCAAAATCATCCTTGCATAGAATACTGTTTTTATATCTGAGTTAGCATGAGCTCATCTCTTGTGTTATCCACTAAAATTCATTCTTATATCACTCATCGTTCTATTAAGTCAACTTGTCGTTCAATTAAATTTTGTGACTGTTCCTAATTGCTCTAAAACTTCTTATTTGCCTTGTTTTTTTCTTCAAAATCAGCTCTTTGGAATTCGTTTTATCTTGTTTCCTTTATCTTGTTTTCCTGATTCATATAATTTGCAATCTTTTAAGTTGTCTGTCAATCTTTATCTTGCTTTGTAAATTTTATCTTTTTCTTCCAGTAACTACCAACTCTAATAGTTATTTGCAGCCTTGATAGAAGTGAAAATTTCAAAAAAAAAAATTATCTACATTTTTTCATGTATGTATGTATATATTTATTTATATTTATATGTATACATATATGTATTTGAATAATTATGTTATGTATTCTTAAGCTAATATATGTATTTACTTATTTATTATGTTATTTTCTTTTTTGCCATTTAGTATTATTAAATTTATTTTCAGAATAATTTATCAAAAACTAATTTGTTTTTTCAAATATTCTGACAAAGTTTATTTTTACAAGAAATATTTTTGTTTGAATACAAATCTTGTTTACAGTATATATGTTATTCTTCTTTTATTCAAGGTGGAAATTTTAAATTCAATTATTGTGGAATTGCAGGTTATTACTTTCTTTAGTTTTTTTTAACAATTTTTAGTTATTTGATTATAAATGCATTAATGATAATTATTTTTCTTTTTTTTTTTTAGCAAAAAAACTATGATCTAGATGAAAAAATCAAAATATTGACATATGGTGATTATATGATTTATGATAGTGATGATGTGATTTATATTGGCTATAATGATCGGTATATCATTTTTGATGATAGTTATATCACCTATTATAATAGGTTTATCAGTTAGGTGTGTCAGCAAAAGAAAAAAAAAATTTAAAAGCTCGAATACATATTTAAAGCAAATATAGAAAATAAGATTAAAGAAATAAATTTCGGAATAATATTGACTAGTATATAGTTGATTATTAATATATTTATATATTATTAATAAAATAAATCCACAATAGTCTGCAGCCCCAGTTTTTATTTAGTATAAAGGTTTAGAGTTTAATCGTATATTTTTAGTAGAAAAAATAAACAGGTATAAGACATACACAAGTTGTTAATATTTGAACTTAATACTCATCAACAACCTCTTAGCTTAGCTCCTTTGGTAGATGAATTTCCCTGGTTAATGTTTGATATAATTAGAATAGAAGAACATCAAATTAAGGACTAGTATATTTTGCTACCATAGTTTTGGCTAACACAAACATACTGATCATTTTTAGTGTAAATAAGCATGCCAAGAGGGCATCAATTTGTTTATAAGGGTAAAGTAGAAAAACATAATAAAACTAATGCCATGGATAAAAGTTTGTTTAATTTTAAGTTAACATTCATCCAATTATTGCCAATCAAAAAAAAAAAATCAAGTAATAAGACAGAAAAATTCAAAATCATTTAGCATGCATTCCAAAAAACAGAATATAATTAATTTTTATTTTGATATTTGAAAATTGCATTCTTAAGATTTTATTTTTAAATTTCATCTGTGTTGGTTTCTTTTAATCAATCTATAAAAGCTTTTTATTTAAAAAAAAAAATGAAAAAAAAGTTTTTTAGGCATCCAACAATGAAGTTATATATAAGTTAAATGAGTGTAGATGTGGGACTATTATGCATTTTTTTATTTATTTGACAAATTAAATTAGTTTTTTTTATCAATTTAATTATTTTTTTATTAATTTAATTAAAGTCTAATATCGTTTTAAACAACAATTATAAAAAGGTCAGGATACTAAGCCACCTAAAAAAGAATTCTAATCCCTCTCCCCCCCCCCCATGAGCACATTAATAAAATTAATTAACAAAATATTGAGATTTATTTTGCCATCAAAGTCAGATAATTTGGGAACAATTAGGGTAAACCTAACTCTTTTTGAAATTTTTTTATGAAATCCTTTTAATATTTGCTCCTTATTTGTTCACTTGTTTATTTTCAAAGTTTTATTTTTAATGAACACAATTAATGATAGTATTAAATTTATTTTTTTATAAATATTGTATCAATACATTATAAACTACAGTATTTTTAATGGTAATTAGGTAAATGGTTAATAAATGGTACAACACAACATTTAAACAAAGTATTTTTACTTGTATGCTTGTGCATAATTAAATATTAAAATTTTTTTCATGTGGTTGATTTTTAGATATTGAAATTTTAATGTTCAAGTCAAACAACTGTAGTATCCTTTTAGTTTAATATAAGTTAATAAGAAATGAGTTTTAGTTTCTTTTTTCATTAGCATTTTTTTTATATCTTCACATCCCTGGTAGTACTATACATAACTTGTTTCTCTGTTTAGTTGTCTTTATTTTCAAGTTTCGTATTTTGTAGTTATATACATTACTGTTGCACATTACCAGGGTTAAGCTAATTACTAATATTTCTTATATAATATTGCTACTTAGGGTTTCATGTTAATTTGAGTAATTAGATACAGTTTTAGAATTTGAATAAATATATCTAAAAGCATTTTCAACTATTAATACATATAATTTGACATTAGTATAAACATTTAAAATTTCATAGTTTATTCTATAACTTACCTAAATGAATTACCAAGAATCTTTTATCTTCCTCTGTAGAGATATTTTGGGTAACACTAGTCAAAAATTGTCTCAACCTTCAACAATGTCATTAACAAATGTAAGTCTAACAATCTTTAATTCTTGAGACTGATCTTATTACCTCTCCTAAGGACAAGCTTAACTATTTGAAATGAATTTTTCTTATAATTAGGCTCTTAAATCTAATGGCTATACTTTTCCTTCCATTCCAGTTAAACCGGTTCAGCCTATGCGAGACATTTTAGTCATTCAAGCTTCTGTCAGTAAAGTCATATCTCTACTAAATGTTTATACGGCTTGTGGTCCTGACAATATTTCAAATGAATGGAGAATCTCTTCAGTTCTCTCTAAACTAAATCGTGTGTGCTTGACTGAATCAAGTTTTTCTGCCTACTGGAAAATGGCACCCATGGTTACAATTTTAAAACTCTAGATAACATTATGACCCCTCCAACTATTATCTGATTAGTTTTCTCTCTGTTATTAGCAAGATCTTTATATTTTTGATCAACAAATTTCTAACATTCCATCTTTAGTCAAATAATTTACTGTCAGACAATTATTACGCTTTAAGCTTTATATGGTGTAGGAAAATATTTGAGATTATCAAAACATTTCTTGCTAACAGCTTTATTAAAGTAATCTTTAAAGACCAACACCTTCATTTCTAGTAACTTCTGGGGTACCTCAAGGTTTTTATTCTTGATCTTGTTTTGTTACTTATCTACAATAATTATCTTCCTGACAACCTTTCACCTAAAGTGGCTATAATTATGACTTTAAACATGTGTCTCGAAAATAAGTCTTCTCTTTTTAATCGCTTAAAAAAGGCAGCCGATCTTAAATCTGACCTCACCTCTGTAACAGATTAGGGCTTGCAGTGGCTTGTGAATTTTAACTCTAACAAAACTCAGTTATTTACTGCAAACAACTATTGCGATACTATTGTTCTATACTGATGAATGGAAACCATCTTATTTAGTCCTATTTTTTATATTGTCATGGATTATCATTCACTACTGACCTCTCATGGAAGCAATACATATAATTAATTTGCTAAATCAGCATTTGCTAAGGTTGCTTCTCTTTATCGAGCTTGCCATTTTCTTATTCCTTATTCCATTCTCTTATTTGTCTCTATAGAATACTGTTGTCTTATTTATGCAGATTCTTCAAATGATACTCTTTCTTTTCTAGACAAGGTCCAAAAATGCATTGTAAACGTAGCCGGACCTGCTTAGTTTTTGAATCTTGTGCCTTTCTCATATCTTTGTAAATTTGCATATCTTTCTCTTTTCTGCAAATAATATCATGGTTGCTGCTCAAAGAAGCATTATCTATAGTTTCATCAACAAAAACTCATTCTTGCTTGACATTAGATTATTTTACTGTATTTGTCCATGCTATAAAAGCTTTTATTTGTCTAGGTTTATTCCTCACACTTCAACCCTTCAGAGTTGAAGTGTGAGGAATTTTACAAAAAATCCTGTCTTGCATTTAAGCCTGTCGTTCATAATTATCTGGGAATTAACAGGATTGAAAACTACAAAAAACGAATTAATGAACTACTTAATGTAATTGCGAGAAGGGATGCACGATGTCACCCTAGCACTGCGCTACTGCAATACTTAAACTTGCTTATTTACTTACTGCACTTACTTACTATACATTACTTATACTTATCTCAAATTTTTCTGTCCAAATATAAGAACTATTTGTGAAGAACAAAAAGAAAAGTTTCATCACATATATTCAGGTGATGGAAAAGCAATACTGAGGAAGATAAAATGAAGCCATGATAAAGGAATATAAATTAAAAAAAAAACAATCTAATGTACATTTCTGAACTTTTAAATATAAATTGTTTTTATATAATAACATGTTATAATCATATTAATTTAGCTTCAAAGCAAAGCAAATAAATGTTCACTGTAATTTCTTTATGTGTTTTTTTTCTTTAAAGATGACTTACTTCTAACAAGGAAGCAAGCAACCACTATTATGTTGGGAGTTACTAGAGAATAAGGAATAAGTGAAATAGCAAGGAAACAGTTGACAGAAGACTTGAAAAGTTGTAGGTTGTTTGAGTCAGAAAAACATGAAGATAAGAGAAAGTTCAAAAGGGTTTAAATGTGAGGAAAAAAACTAAACAAATAGAAGTATTTTTTACCATGCAGGTATGATACATTCAAAAGATCTGGCCATGCTGAATGACAAGTCAAATCATAATGAGTTATGGTTGATGGAACTAGAGATGTTAGCTCTCTTAGCAGTGACCATGTTAGTATTTTTAGAGAAAGAGAAAAAGATGCAAATTTACTACAATGGAAATGAAGCTCAAGCTTGGCAGATAAAGCAGGTGTCAACTACATTTACAATACATTTTTGGACCTTGTCTTAAAGAGAAAGAGCATCATTTGAAAAACCAGCCCTAATATTGCAACAGCATTTTATACAAGCACAAATAACAGATTTTTAGAGGCAGAGAACGGAATAAGGTATAAGCTAACAGTGAGCATGATAAAAACCTTAGCATGTGCTAACTTTGCATTGTTTGTATTTCCATGAGATGTTTGTAGTGAAAGATAATCCAAAAATACGTAAAGAAGAGAACTCGGTGAGAGGGTTGCCATTTATTAATATAGGAATGTCAACAGTATTAATGTATTTGTTTGCTGTAAATAACTGAGTTTTGTTGGAGTTAAAATTTCCAAGTCACTGCAAGTCCCAATCAGAAGTTGCAGAAGTGAGATTAAATTCAAGGTCGTTTGCCTTTTCTAAGCAATCAAAAAGAGTAGACTTTTTATATCCAGACAGGGATATAAATTTAAGTTATCAGCAAGTCAGAAAGATCATTGATGAAGATGAGTAACGAAACAGAACCAAGGATAGAACCTTGAGGTACCCCAGAAGTTACTTGAAATGAAGAAGAGTATTGGTTTTCAATGATGACTTTTATACTGTGGATAGAAAGAAATGATAATCTTAAAAAATTCTAAAAAATCTCTAGCCTTTACTTAACCAAGAGCCCCAGGAGAATTTTAGCTGGATGCAACTTTAGCTGGAGCTCAAACTGCATCAGAGATTTAAGCAAAACACAAACATAAATATAGTAACTTACGGGTGGGCAATCATGGTGCAATGTTCAATGTTCAGACAGAACACAAACATGCATA